ATACTTAGTCTTTCTTAATTTAGCCGAGGGGCACGCAATAACCTTTAACTCCTACGCAAGCCTTTTTTAAGTACAATAATTACAGTTAACTACATGATTAATTACTTTAATTACGAGCGTCGGATTTTTTTTGATTTAATTACTTTTAAGTACAAATTTCAGCTTTAATTACAAGTCGCATAAATTAAGTACATTAACTCCATTAATGTACAGCGACAAATGTATTTAAATTACCCCCAGCGTACCGTTAGACCCTTTCGTTATTGGCCCGTGAAACAAAAATTTCACAGGCCCTTTTGCTACGTTAAGGATAATGTCAGCTCTGATAGATTGTATCGCTACCGCTGTTATGACTTCAGAATAGATCCTATAAACATACATCTTCTGGGACTTACGAGGAAATCTACGTTGGTGATTGGCGCCAAATCACATGCAACGATCGGTTCGTGATGGGAAATGTAGTCGGATTTCAATACTGCCGAGGTGTAGGCAGGGCAAAAACCTATACCCTGGAGCACGCCCCTGTTATAGCGCCGAAGAATGCGACAATGAAAGGAATGTTTGTTTGTGCTAACTGGTTCAACCTAAGAAATAACGGATTTAATTTGGTGGATGTGAACGAAAACAGAATAACAATAGAAAATTATGTTAAGCACGTTTTGCCACTTTGTATTTAACCCCAAAATGTATGGTTAAGGGGAAGTTTACTGCCCCGAAAATATAGTTTTTTCGACACGGTTTTTTTTTTAATAATGGGAAAAATTATCAAAAATTCAAGAAAATTAGTTTTTTCTCAGATTATTAACAAAATTTACATGTAAAAATATTATTTATTTCTCCACGGATACGAATTTCGTTCATTCAAATCAAAAATAAATCTGTTTATACTCTAAACATATGAATGATTCAAAGTAAATTGAAAACATGTTTAAAACTAAAATATGTATTTTGAATTAAATTCAAAAGCATGTTTTTTTTAGCAATATAGAAATCAATCGTATTTGAAAGCATCAGTCACCGATGTGTCTGTGTTTGACTGGATTATTGACCCCCCTCCCCCTGCGTAGACAATTGTCCATACAAAAATGTTTAAATTTGTATGGGCCGTGCATAATTGTCAACCCCCCCTAAACTGTCTACGTAGTTTATGAACAACCCCTAAGAGAAAGAGCTGAACGGACACTGGAGCTGGTGAATACTTTGGACATTCACACGCTGCGCTACTTCCGGGAAAAAATCGCAGCTAGTATGCAATTGTCTTCCCGGCACCGATAACTTGAGCGTGTCAAGTTGATCGGTAACGATCATTTCGTGTCCTGTGCACATGGGACTCATCGTTTCCTATCGATTTGGAGTTCTACCCATAGTATTGTTTAGTTGACCCATGGAAAGACGAATAATGGGGAGGCGCATTTCATAAGTGCTATCGCGTCAATTCTGAATATGGATGTGATCATATAATGGCGATAATACAAATAAAAGCACACAATTGGTTTGAATCATCTTAGTGTCTGCAACCAAAACCTGATAATATTTTTTTTTGTTAATGAACTCTGCAATAAATCTGTTAATTATTATTAGTATAATAATATTAAGTTTGAAAGAAATATTAAAATAATCGAACAATTCACGCGTAACACCAGAAAATTAATGCAAATGCAAATACATGTTCCATTGAATCTGTTAATTCAGGCACAGGCTAATATCATCATCTGTCGAACTGTGCTGCGAGCATGGCTTAAAATTCGAACATTTTTTAATAGGAAGGAAATGTGCTCGAGGAATTGCTTGAATTAAGGAAATGTAAAATTTGAAGACTTGTCGTCACAACTAAGTGATTCCCATTTCATTTGTACGGCAATCATGGCCCTCATTATGCGTATCACTTCCTTTTCACTGTATATTGTCGCTAGAGTTGTAGACTGATATAACCTACTCGTGACAATCGATTTTATTCTAGTTCTGCATTAAAGCGCATTATTTAACGAATACAGTGCACTAGATACGACATTATGTTGAACGTACAAAACGAGAGTGAAATCGATTGTCGCGAGTGGATTATTTCAGTTTTCAAGAAATTTAGTATAAGTATTCGCAGAATTGGTCATGTTTGTAGTCTAGTAAAACATTAATGGGCGTATTTCGGGGTGTAAGAAGTGTTTTTGAATAAATTGATTCATTCGAGTATGTGTTAAGGGTTTTCTTTTTTTTTAATAGTTTAAGAATAAAGAATGGGGTACGTTTTTAATTACATTTGTGTAATTTTAATTACATTAATTACAGAAAATAAATTTATAATTACATTAATTACGTAATCAAATTGAAGTACGTGTTAATTACACTGGCACTGCTTTGATTACGCGAAATTAAATTTAATTACATGAAATACTTAATTTTCATTTTTAATTATTTAATTACATATTTGTACACCTTGTACTTTAAATCCAACGCAGTCAAAAAGGCTATTGCGTGCCCCTCGAATTTAGCTGAGTTTAGCATCAAACGGAATGTTATTATTACAGATGACTTCCAAATTTGCTTAGCTTTCCATAAGTACCGTTAGTTCTGATAAGGGGTCGCAAAATATTTGTTTATTGTTGAAAATGCAAAACTGTTTCTGGCGTCTCAACTGGGCCTACGGATTTTCTTGGGCCTATTAGCCATTGAAACGCCATTGGGATTCTCTTTGGCCTATCAAACGGAAAGAAAAGCGAATTCGCGTGCGTCTTTTGTACACTTCAAGTGTGCCTTTTGTTTTCAAGATCTTATTTTGCGTTCTTCAACTTCGTCTTGCAGCTATTGAATAGAAGCATCGTACAAAACGTATGTTTGAAACGTTCACGCCGCAATCATAGATATATTTGATGTTTTCTGCTCGATAGGCCCAAAACGGGCGAGAAGGCCGAAGTAGTGCTCTACCCTATGCTTTCAAAAATGATAGCAGTGATTGTAGTAATTCTCAGCTACAACTTTGTTGAAACCCTCGTTTCAATCAAATGTAAGGAACAAAAGTTATTAATGATTCAAGTCGCTGATGTCTTATGATTATGCTCATTCAACTGTTCAGCAGGCAACATTGGTGTTTCTGGTGCGATGAATAGGGTACAAATATCATCACTACTATGTCACGCTGCAGAATACAGTGTTGCCCACAGAACAGCTGCTTGATCATGCCATAAGATTATCAATATCTTAAACAATTAACAACAATGGAATTTGACATTTGACTGAAAAACGATTTTCGCAAAGTTTTAGCTTAGATAATTTCCCGTAAGAATAGTTATAGAAATTTTTGAAAAAAGCAATATGGAAAATGGGCAGAAGAAAATGAACAAAAAGTTTGGTTTTCCCATAGTAATTTCCATATAAACTTCGAAAAGTTTGTGCCAAATCAGTTTCTTACCAAATGAGTTAAAATTTTGGGAGGCTAATCAGGACCTGATTTTTAACCGTTTGAGCACTGTGGAGCGAAAATTTCAAATTTTGCATCAGCATAATGCCCTTCCTTCCCCTACATATGCTCCATGAACATGTTTTAAGCTGCATTTTGATTATGTTTTAACCTTCCTAGTGCATTGGGGTCATTTTTGGCCTGGAAACACTGTAAATTTTTCCTATTGCATTAAGAAGGTTGAACATTCTGGTCTAAAATTCATATTGTTGAAGAAAATTGGGCTAGAATGATCTCAACGTTGAGATTCAGAGACCAGGTCTGGCCCACCTGCCTGCTGTATATAGATAGATTTCTTATATCTTTACTGGATGATTGATTTACCAGTTTAGTTTGGGCTTGATTGGCATAGTGTGTATGAAGTTTGAGGGATTTTAGAAAAACGCTCGTGTTGTAGCTTTTTCGTAGACTGACGGATTTTAGTAAAATGTGCGGCGAAAAAAAATCTAGATATTGACTACATACATATGAGCAAAATTTCAGAGAATGTATTTCATTGTACTTCAAGAATTATAATGTTTGGAGAAAAAGGTGCATTTAAATTGTGCAATCATCATACATGCTCAGCCAATCAAGCACAACACTATACCAATAAATCATGGATTACAGACAGCGATTATTCGACAATTGAAGAGAGACCAGAGTGACAGAGATTATTGGTATTCTTTATTTTATAAAATTTGAACCATTGACAAATTTAAGCAATCACATTTCAAATTGTAAACAAACAAACCCTAATTGGCGATTGAATACTTTTAGTGTTTTTTTATATGCAGAGTTGTTACGATATAGACAAATAGGGTGGAGCACTATTTCGGCATATGGAACCCTTTTCCGTCATATGCATCAAAACAACGAAGACTAACAGCTACATGCATCATTCACGTCTCAAATTCTTTTCTCACGAGTTAAATTACGAATGCTGTGAAAAAAAAGTTTCAGGGCTATCGGAAAACTGATTTATTTGGGGTACTCTGAAGTTAAGCGAGATATGCTTAAATGGTGCCACACCCTATCATCCTTCTGGATTGGCTTGGCATCCTCATAATATATCGATTCAAGCTAATTCCCATGTATGTGTATTATATTATAATATATTATATTATATTCGCAAACGCAGCTGACCTGGTTAAAACCAGTATAAATGAAAATCAAGTTAAAAGAAAATGGCACTTTCCATTAACAATCAATTCCACATGCTTAAATTTGTTCCCAGTTCAAAAGATAATGAAATTCAAACATTACTATTCCACCATCCATATTTGCATTTCAATAAACAAAACCGACAAACAGATAAGCAGCGATTGCTGATTGATAGCTCCGACTCATTACCTTTTCGGTAAATATCAACGACGCCACCTTACCGCGTAGAATTTCATTAACACATTTCAAGTTCAAGAATACGAATATTAATGTCGCCTTCACGATAACTCTTCGATGAACCCAAATCACATCTGACAAACTCCACTGTTAACACATTTCGTCACAGATCATCACAGATTGTTCTGTTCCGCAAATTAATTGGCATTCCGCTTGTGTTTTCAATTACCGTTACAAAACGCAACCGCAGAACATAGCAAAACAGCTACTGGGACGACCTTCAGCAACATTTCAGAATTGTAATCGTAGCTGGCAAATAGAACCACTCAAAACACTAAATACTTCGGGAGAAATTACAACAATGCAACTGAACCGAACACTGAAGTATTACTAAACGTTACTGTCACCGACACCGTACCGATATCCAAACTAACTGATGTTTGGCGATAAGCATAAACTTTTATACCTTTCTACAGGTGCGAATACACAATATATCGCACCGACGCGACCGCGAGACCGAACGCAACCGGTGACGAACTTCACGTCGGCTATTCAAATCACGTCACCTTCGGGCGATCAACGAGAGTGGAGAATCCCGCGCGTTGTTGTCTTTTACCCTCCCGCGTTTCGTATGGCGGAACTCATTTCCTCGCTTGTTATACGGTAGGGTGGAGCGCTACTTCGTCGTAATCGTTCATTTTCGTTGTATCGAGCAGAAAACATCAGTAATATCGAAGAGCATAAATATCAACTCACAAAGCATACAACAATGGAACTGGCAAATAGTTTCATGAGCGATGTCACAACAATGTCCGAGATTTGTGCTCTAGACTATGGCATATCAACCATCATGACGGCCATTTTGGAACTTTTCAAGGCATCACCTTAAGCTACAACACAAAGCCTGTTAAAGCGCATAATGTGAATATTTACACTCATTGTTCTCAAAAACAATAGAAGCGCTCCTAGCGAATTCATCCGTAGAACGAAGAAAATTAAATGGCGTTTCAATGCGTTTGAACGGAATTTAAACGCGCAGGACGAATAATTGATGTGTGTCTTTTTACCAAATCCAACGGTACGTATAGAAAGGCTCGTAGAAACGTAAATAAATTTAGGAGTCAGCTATAGTAGAATGATACCATTTTTTGTTTATATCCGTTTAAAACAGAGAGCTTGCTTCCCAAGCATGCAACAAGTTAAAATCATGGTCTACAGAACCCTAATAATATATAACGGCGCCGGTGGTGTAGTGGTAAGCGTGATTACCTCTCACCCCAGAAGGCCTGGGTTCAATCCCAGTCGGCGCCGCCGGGATGTTCTGAGGCATAACATCTCTGATCACGCCTTCCTTCGGATGGGAAGAAAGCCGTTGGTCCCCGGTTCATGAGTTGATGGGTCGATAGGTAGGGTCCAGGTGTGGGAGCTGCCTTCCTGGCACGTCGGTAGCATTGGTGCTCAGCACGGAAAACAAGATCGACGGAAAAAACAAACCAAAGGAAAAAAAAAAAGAACCCTAATAAAACCAAAATTGATACTTGGGTTTTGCTTAGTGGGGCAAAAATTAGACCAAAAACCCTAATTATGTATAGATGCAACTTGTAACACAAATTTTCTCGTGAAAATTGCTACTGGAAGTTCTATACTTTTGATACTAATGTTAATACTTGTGAAGGCAATAGTTTCAATTGCAATAATTGTATCTATAAAAAAATGCTATTTGTTTCTATATTTTGTCTGATTTATCTAAATCGAAAATGCTAAAAGATATTCTTCATAAATCTTGTATCAGGTCATGTACCTTTGGTACGTGCAAAACCATGGACTATCATGGATAATTCACTTAACACATTACCACTTGAATAAAACTACTGAGGTAAACAAGCTCGAAAGACTCATATGACTTCTGCAGAAGACCACGCAAGTCAACACGATCATCTTCTCAGTGCCACCACTGAGACTACTGTTGACCCTGAACTCTCCCATTCGCAAAACGAAAGGAGCACAAGAAGACACTATCAAAATGCATCTCAATCCTTCGCTTTCAGGAACAATGCTTGACTATAAAAGACGATGGTCGGAAACGAGTTGATTATTAACTGTAAATATACTGTAATAAGACATATACAAACATTTCACACCTCAGCAAACAAGCGATAAATATTTGCGCTTCATAAAAAGCTCATTTACGTACTGACGATATAGGTATTACCAAAACACACTCACCGGTGTGCATTAATGAGCCTTTTAATGGGTATTGTCATCCAGCCCGTTTAAAGTTCTGCAAACCGCAGTTATGCTTATTTTTAAAACATGAATGCCTATTGGAAGGAGAAGGTCAAAACCGTTGCAAAATTAGCCATCAATCCATCAACTCGAAATAAGTGCGAGTGATATGACATGACAGGGTGTGCTTGCTTGCTTCCGGCCACCCACATACGAGAGCGTGCGGGCTTTGTTGAGGAATGATTTACGAAACAAATTAGACAAACATACACTATAAGTGGCATATAGTTGTACGGGCAAACAATACAGGAAGATTCGCTACTCGGATTTGCTCTGCATGATGACTAAATGGGAAATTTCGACAACCAATTCGTAATCTGGGCGACCTCTGGAAAAATTGCGCGTGTATTTCGAAAAGAATACCACAAAATATACCCTGGGTATTATATTCAGCGAGACTGCCAATTGGATTGATTTTCAATTCTCATGAGACTGGATTCGGTTCTGGTTTATCTCCATTGATCATGATTTTGATTTTTCATGTGGTCATGATGGGTTTGGCACGTTTTTGAACAATTCTGGTCATAAGATACGTGCGCTCACCAGAACATGCGCAACCACTGGATCGGGTCCAAAGATACTCAGTGGCGTTCTAAGAGACCATGGTAGCATTCATTTGGAGCTTGTTTTGCGCTTGTTCGCTAAATGAAAACATATAGGGTTAACTACCCCATTTCCAGCCTATTAAGCACAACCCGCACTTAGTCTTTCTTAATCTAGCGCAGTTTAGCACCACACGGAATGTTATTATTACTGATGGCTTCCAAATTTATTTACCTTTCCGTACGTACAGTAAGATTTCATAAAGAGCAACCAATCGTTGAGATATTGTCAAAAGTCTAACACTGCTTCTTTACGCCAAACTCGGCCTACGGATTCTAAACTCGGCCTAACCAGCTAGGTGGCAGCCCTATCTTGTTTGCCTTGCCTTGACCAGAGCTAACATCGCTGCGGGCCCGCGAATTGTGGGCCCCACTGACAGCTCATAATTTGTAAACAAATAGAAGATTCAAGCCAGAATTTCAAAAAAGGTGTGACTGATATTTTAGATATTCTTAATATTTTTGCTTACTTTTTGTGAAAAATAAACTAAGAACTCATAAAATATTATTTTCTGATTTTTTACCACGAAGTCAACCATTTATATGGCATAAAAGTCACGTCATTTTTAAAGTTCACACTTTAATTGTGACGTTTCAGATGTTGGTTTCAATAACATGGCGGCATATCACCCAGCTGGGCCTAACGCATTGAAACGCCATTGAAACGCCAATGTATTCACTTCGGCCTATTAGATGATGATAAAAATGATTCGGTCGGAGCGCTTCATTTGTTTTTGGAAATAATGGTTGCAAACCTTCATATCACGCGTTCTCAGTGACTTCGTTCCATAGCTTATAAACTAAAGTATCGTACCAAACGCATAATTGACTTGTTAACTCTGAAATCATGGATTTATTTGAAGTTTTCTGCTCGATAGGCCCAAAATAGGCGATTAGGCCGAAGTAGTTCTCTACCCTACTGCCAGTGAAATCATAACCTATCTTTTTTTATTATTGGGTATCAAGCTGGAGCTGCGTGACAGCTTAGTTTTCAAGACTTGACCCATATGAATAAATTTAGCATCTATCTTTGACAATACAGCAGAAGAACTAGCCTATGTTGGCAGTTGAACACTGGATTCCGTATGTATTGTTTCAAGATAGTTATGGAAAAATGCTGTGACGTGTGCACGTAGATACATCCGCGCCGTTTCGGACGAAATATCTAAATGATGTAAGTTACGAAAACCGCGCGAATTTCGAAAGCCGTGCGAGACAACCGAAGCGAGAAAAAAATGCTTATTGTCATTTAAAGAGTGCCACCAAAATAAATGTGATAGCCTATGTTGGCAAGTTAATTAATTTTGGTTTCTTCCCTAGATATTCTACTTATTTACTATTGAGCGTTGTATCAAATTAGTTAATTTAAAGAATGTATCAATCATTTCCAGATTTCGCGACCGTACCCATTAAGTTCTATACTACATAAGCTCAAAAGCGTTTGACAAGCTCTACCGAATTGCGTATCATTTCTGGGTAAGCTCCGTAGACGAAGGCGCGTTGATTCCGACAGCCGCCAAAGGTTTAACCTACACCAAAACCGCTTAAGGAACGACCTCGAGTCAGTAAAACCGTTTAGAGCTAAATATCTAAATTATATATCTAAGATACGAAAATCGCGTAAATTGCGAACGCCGCGCGAGACAATCGTAGAGAAAAAACAGCTTATTATCACTTAAGGAATGCCACCAAAATAAATGTGATTGCCTATGTTCGCATGTTGATTAATTTTGGTTTCCTCCCTAGATATTCTATTTATTTTACTATTGAGCTTTGTTTCAATTTAATTATTTTACCGCACGAATCAATCATTTCAAAATTTGCGACCGTACCGAATAAATTCTAAACTACATAAGCTCAAAAAAACTTCTGAAGAACTCTACCGAATTGCGAATCACTTCTGCGTAAGCTCCGTAGACGTAGGCGCGTTGAATCCGACAGCCGCGAAAAGTTATACATGCATCAATACCACATTAGAAAAGATCGATTTTACAGTCACGTAGGGTTTAGTTCATAGATTAACATTGACTGATGTTTACACATGTAAGTACTTGAACACTAAGAAATAAGTTAACTCAAATGCTTTAACCGCATATATCAGAAATCTATTGAAATCGCGTATTGAGAGAATAATATAGTAATCGAGTACAATAAACTCAGAGGAAAACAATACCTACAAAAGATTAAAAGTTATTAATTGTCACATATCTCAACTTTTACTTATTTCCTAAACTATTCCTCTCCTTTTTAATCTGCTTAATGCTGTTGGTCTGCTTGCGTTTTCTTATTGAAGTTAAAGACTAATTAGGATAATTTATTCTACAACTTTAAAGGTTAGTTGCCTCCGTAAGCGAACCCCCGGATCATAGTTCTTTTGTTAATCAACTTAATGTTATTAGACTTTCTGGAGTTTCTTATTTAAGTTCATTTGATGATTATGATATCTCAATAAATTATTGAAATCTCTAATGCACCTAATCAATCATAACCCATGCTTTATTAAGTACCTGCACTTG